AAACAGGACACACTTTGGCCCCGAATCAGTTCTCCTACTTGGTACTTGGACCCCCAGAATCTAAACCTCAAACCCTAAACCCAACACTCAAAAACCAAGAACTTAAAGACCTAAACCAAAAAATCAAACAACGCAAAACCTCAAGATCCCCAACCCTCAACCTCCAAACCCTGAAGCCCAAACCCTTAACCCCAAACCCCAAAACCCAAACCCTTTACCCCAAACCCTAAACCCGCTTGGCCGAAAGAACCTTTCCACGTTTGGAGAAAAGGCGCGCAAAAAAAGAACAAAACACATACCTAAACCTTAAGGCTTAAACCCTAAACCCAAACCCTGAACCTTAAACCCTAAACCCCAAACCCTCAACCCCAAACCCTAAACCCTTCACCTGAACCTGAACCGCATCCCTTAGGCTGCTTCATGCTGCTGAACACCGGCGGCGACGCAGTTCCCTCAAAGCATGGGCTGCTGACGACAATCGGCTATCAGCTCGGCCCAAAGGCCGGGTAAGGGCGAAAAGTGTCTGAGGTTTAGGATTGAGGGCTTAGGGTTTCAGGGGTTTAGGGTGTTAGGGGTCTAGGGTTTTAGGGTGTAGGGGTTTAGGGTTTATGGTTTGGGGTTCAGGGCTTATGGATTAGGGATTAGGGTCTAGGGTTTATGGCGGTTAGTTGGGGTTTCTGGTTTGGGGCTGTTTTAGGGTTTGAAATGGTTCGGGGTCTAGGGGTCATGGGTGTAGCTGTCTTGTTTCGGGTATGGCTTACGGGGTCAATTGAGTCAAGGTTCAAAGGCTGGGGACTTGCGCTTTGTATCGAGGTTCATTTCGGTTTAGGGTTGAGGGCGCCATTTTACGGGAGGGTTGGTGAGGGTTCAGTGCTGTTACATCTTTTTTTGGCAAGCTACTCCCCGTTTACTTCCAGTTGAAGGTTGAGAGTGGCATTTTACGAGAGGGTTGGTGAGGGTTCAGTGTTTATCTTTCTTTGGCAAACTCCCCGTTTACTTCCAACATATACTACTATCGAAGCGTGTTCTCATGATTTAGGCCCATATCCTCCATAGCAAGCCTAAGAACCTTTCTTCATGATAGAAGGCCCTGAACCCTAAGACCTATAAAGATCTCAAGGCCTAAAACAGAAACACTTAACCCCCAATTCCTGAAACAAACACAAATTGTCAACCCTAATGCTACACCCTCAGTTCCAATTCCCAAACATCCCATAACTTTGAATGCTTAGCAGCAAGCTCGCAACCCGTAAGCCCCAAACCACGAACTCGCAGTTGGAGGTTCTTGTGGTTATAGCTTATAGGCAGTGTTCCGCGTGGGCTAGTTATACTTGCATTTTATAACATCATCCGAGGTTTTTCATTTATCCTGCTTAGAAGAAGCTACCCACCTAGACCCTCCATCTACCCTCTATATATCCTAAGTAAACACCAACTATTAGGGACCATGTAAACCCCATTAAAGGCTACAAGGAGGGTCCTGCCATGTACATGAAGCAGGAGAAGGTCACCTATGCCCTGGAGGGAAGTGTCGCCTGCGCAGGGCGCGTGGCCCCTCGACCGCCGTCAGTTGATCTGCGATATTTTCGCGAATTTTGTTTGATTGTTCATGGGGCACGTGCCCCATGAACAATTGGCACGTAATACAACAGGGATTGTGGACGGTTCAGGCTTTTCCTCCTAATTTGAGGTTCCTATGATCAGGTCTTGGTTGTTTAAGGTCGAAGAGAACGACCTAGGTTTTGAGTAATCCATGGTTGCAGCCTGGTTGCACAGACTTACAGGGTTTGTGGGACTTCCAGGGACTGCGCGGTTTCAAAGGAACCGAATCTTGGGATTTCAGATGAGCAGGGCGCAGTATTCAAGATGGTCTCAGGTTGGGTCTCCTTGTAACGACGCCCGAGTATCTATGATGCCAAAAACAAGGACATAGTTCCGAGTCCTATATGAAGTTGTCACGCTTGAAGGGTTTTCTGATGGGTTCGGCGTTTTTGATAAAACTTGTCCAGTTTTTGTTGGGGAGATTGCGCGGGAGATGGCGGCCCTGCAAGGATTATCGGAGTTCATGATCAGTGCTGAAGAATTTGGAATATGATCCTGCTCACTCTCAATTACTTCAGCTCGCCTTTTTTGTTTTCTCACTAGTATCAACTTATTTAGGTGGACCCCCCACCCAATAATAGTGACTATTATGGATAATACGGATTATATTAGGGTCCTCTTATATTCCTATTAACCCACTATTACAGGGTGTGGGGTCCTCCTAAGTATCAACCACGATCTTGTCTTGACCTTCAAGATCTGCCACTGGCTGGGTCATGGCAAAAGTGCAGTGTCACTTCTTGCGGTTCACGGCATCATGATCACTTTCACTTCTTATCCTCAAGACCGTTATTATGCTAGGGGCCTTCTCTCTTTGGCTCTGGCATTTGCGTTTTCAGAATCAGTAGTTTCTCCCCTCGGCTTTCGCTTGAAGTTTGGCAGGTGTCCTATGCACAGTTCAGGGTTGTCATGTTAGGCTCCGCTTATCATAGTACCTTTGGTACTGCCCCCATTCTCTACCAGTTGGATAAGAATTATAAAGTGTCTATATATAAGCGTCACTAATACCCTCTATAATAGACTGTTACTGGGTGGGGGGGGGGGGGGCAGTACTCAACACCTACCCTAAACCCTACACCCTAAACCTTAAGCCCCAAATAGCACCAGGCGTAGCTTGGAAAAAGACAGGTGCAGTGGCTGCGTGACAACCTGGGCATCATCAGCTCCTCAAAGGTGCCTTACTATTGCAGTTATTTTCAGTATTATGATGATTATTACTTGTATTTAGTAGTACTACCGTTTGTAGGGGAACTACTTTCCACAACTGCCATTTTGGAGCAGGAATTTTGATCAATTCTCCTATAGGGAGGCACCTTTAATCAGAAACCCTACAGGGCGGCCTGCAGGGTGTAGTTATGGTCAGGCATTGGCACAAACCGTTTCTCCAAGATTCATATGAGCTATAGTGTACACTCCTTAAAGGGGGTTATATGCGGGGATTATATAGGGGAGTATTCTAGGGCTTCTTAAGGAAGATGCTAGAAGTGTAGACTATGGCTCATATGAGGGATCGAACTCAGGATGCCAGATGGGTAGTCCTTAAGGGGTGGGCATGAACCTTAAACCCTGAAACCTACACCCTAAACCCCAAAATAGCTCCATAAACAGGCCAAATGCCTTACTCGCGAGTAGCAAGCCCTGCAGACCCACACAGATGTCACCAGTTGATAAACCCAGGCTGCTGTTCAAAACGAGAAGGCCCAGCATCATGAGCATCAGTTGGGACCTTTCCAGCCGTTCCGGGGCCAAAAGGCCCAGCATCATGAGCATCAGTTGGGACCTTTCCAGGCGTTTCGGGGCCAAAAGGCCCAGCATC